AGCTCGATCCGTTTGGCGCAAAAAAAGTCGATTTTTAACCTCTCTCAATAAGTTATTTTATTACAAAACTTATTAGGGACATAATGATCCACAAACAATAGCTGATCGAGCTTCTCAACAATTAATTATTTCATCGTTAACAAAACATTTTCCACAATTAACTATTCGTGGAGAAGAAGTAAAAAATTTCTAGATATTTTGTTTTTTCGATAATTATTTTGTTTTTCTTCAGAATATTAAAATTGAAAATGCTGAAACACCGGACATTAATGATTTAATTAATATGAATTTAAATGAAGTTTTACAAGCACAATGTCCAAGTGAATTCCAAGAACTACAAGAAAAAGATGTACAAATAATAATAAAACAAAGAAAAAACACTACATCAAGGAGGCATTACAAAAGCTTTTCTTTCGCCAGTTGTTTTAAGAAATATTCAATGATTCGTTCGAGTATTGTTTTTCAAAGTACTAACCTTCATCAATGCTTTTGTAATTCATAATTGAAACGAAAATTATTGGAATAGAGATCATCGATATGAAAATCATCGAATGTTTTTTGACCATCTGTATTCGAGAATGTGATTGCGACGATCATTCCTGATATTCATTCTGTCTGCATATATAATATATGTAACATTTATTCAACTATGATGCATGCATGCTAAATTACAACTTGCTTTTTTCGTGCGAGGGAACTACTCGAACTGATACCCACTGTTTGAGTTCATGTTGTGTTCACAAGGAAGTTGTGATAAGATTTGGAACCGAGTTATGGTCTTCTTACTGAATTTTCAGTAAAGTTTAAGGTAATTACCGAAAATTCATATAATGGAATTTCGAAATGAAGTTTTGCCCATATATAAATCTGAAGGCTCTCAGAATATGTTGAAAGTTTCAGTCGAAATGAATGTTCCTTTATCAAGATATTGAATTTCCAAAAAAATGATTGTTTGCCATAGATATGCTATGAAAATCAATTTCACTTGAAAATTCAATCTTTCGACAAACACCCATTCTTTTCGATTGAAACTTTAAAGATATTCTACTAGTCATTTGATCTGGCGATGAGCGAAATTTCGGATCGGAAGTTCAGTAAAACGGTCATAACTCGATTTCAAAGACTTCTAGACACGAACACTTCTAGGATTTTTCTAATCTTATCAAGGTCTCCTTGGACACACAATATTGACTCAAATGAAAGGTTTTCATTCGGATAGTTTCCTCATTAGTATAATTAGTATAAATACATATAATATTAGAATAGTTGACCTCAATACATAGTTTTCAAAGAAATCGAACGAAGAAAAAAGCTTGTGTAATGCCTTATGTACAATTAAATTTTGATTTTATATTCTGTAGCTTGTTGTATGGGTTGATCCATTAGATGGAACACGAGAATTTACTGAAGGTCGATTAGAAGGTGTAACGGTATTAATTGGTTTTGCTACTCAAGGTAATGCTATTGGTGGTATTATTCATCAACCATTCTATACCGACGGCAATGAACATGGACGTAGTATATGGGGAATTGTCAATTCTGGTGTTTATGGAAAATATATACTTAATAATAAACCATTAACTGGTCGTATTATAGCTGGAAGTTTATCACATCGTTCAGGAACTGTTATAGATGCTGTAAATGCGTGTCAACCTACTGAAGTGTTGCAAGCTGGTGGCTGTGGATACAAAGTAAATTTTTTTCTTTTGTGCATAGAATGAATTGTTTTTTTTATTCTATGTCTTGTTTTGATTTAAGGCTTTACTTGTACTTGAACGCCGTGTTCATGCTTATGTGCATGCATCACGTGGCTGTAGCCTTTGGGATACCTGTGCGCCAGAAGCTATTTTAAGGGCAGGTGGTGGTATGTTAACTGATGTTTTTGGTAATAAAATATCATATATGCTAACTAATGAAACATCTGTAAAAACAGGTGTTTTAGCAACAATGGACAATCATGAATGGTATGCACAACAAATTCGAGAAAAAATTACGATGTCATAAAAAAAAGACAAGACTAAGATATTATTTAACTTTTTTGTTTTAATCTCAGTGTGACTTTTTTTTTATCATACAAGTAAGCATTTTTACTAGATTTTAAAGAAAAACCAAGATTTTAAGAGTAAACGTATTCGTTTACCTCAAAATTTGAATCAGTGATTATCCATTTTAGTGTCATAAAGATTTTTATATATTACAAATAAAATAATGTGTGTTTCAGAATGAATGAGTCTTGTAGTATTTTATAAATATCATCGCCAATGTTCAAGATTAACAACTAAACATTCTGCACTGATGAGTGCACAGCACCAAATCAACGTATTTTGTAAGATCAGAGTGTGAAACTCATGTATATATTCGAAGGAAATAATGAGTGTAAGCTTTAAGTCGAAGTTTTGCAGGTTGTTTTCTCCATTCTAGACCTTAACTACTGAGTATAACAACCGTTACACTCTTTTCCACTGAGTTTCTCGGCGACGAAAAAATGAACAGAACAGCATTAACGACAAGATTTAGGATGCTCTAAAGAATTCTAGAACATATCAAAGTCTTCGTTGTGATTTGAACGGCTAGAACACATTAATGAACACTCTGAATACGGTGTGGCTGGCAGTGTTCAAGGGACGCCTCACAGCAACACCCACACTCCACACATTGTGATGATCTTCAGAATGTCTCTCGCACGGTTTGTGATGAGTGAAGTTTCTCTGTCACGCTATGTTAAAAATGGGTGAAAGTTTCTACCTTATATACTTCGGCACTCCTTTTAGATGATGTTTCACAATAACATTCAATTATTATTCCAAAAAAAGTGAGGAAAAAAAAAGAAAAAGTTATTTGTTAGCAAGTGCTTGAAGAGTATCAGATAACATGTTCGTTTATATTCATCAGGATTTGTTTTGTTTTGTATGCGATTTTGAATTACTTCTTTTTTAAACTCCTTATCAATTGTAAGACGAATATCAGATTTATAACTTTCAGCTAAATTTAAAAATTCTTGTTTTGATAATGTTGAATATTCTTCAAAATGATCTTTATAATAATTTTTAATTTGTTGATCAGCATCACAACTTTCTAAGACTTCGTTTTTACAATGACGTATTTACGTTTCTAATAAAGCACAAGCTTTAAGATAACCTTCAATAGATTCAAAGTATTTCAGCTTCTCGCTTAATTCAAGAATGAGATTTTGAAAAAGTTCTAGCACAAGATAATTATTGTAAAACTTCAATATCATTTTCATTAAATGATCGAGATTTTCATGAAATCGACATTGTCTTTTAAATTAACATTATTTTGTTGAAAATGGATCATATGTTACCTTATCTGAATCTTGATTATCTTTTACTTGACTTACATAATCATCTAACTTAATCGATTCATCTATATTAACTAATATTTGTTTTTCAATTGCTAATGATGATGCAACAACTATTTCGGATCTAGGTGATCCATGTGTGAAACGTATTTTTTTAAAATAAATGATACATTATGTTCTAGCTAACATGATATGTTTACTCAATGAACATTGAATAGAATCAATGATCATTATTTGCTACTCCTTTGTTCTTAGTCAGTCATAAATTAACTACTGAAAAAAAATCCTTATATTTCAATAAATTACAAATTAAATTAACATTTCTTTTATTCTAAAATCAATTTTAGAGTAAATCTCCTATTGTTTCCTATTGCAACCTTTTATTTTAAACAACATATATGAACAAGCGACATATGATGGTCATACTTCGAAGTAAAAATCTCGCATATTTTTATGTTTGAAACACAAATGAAAAATTATTACAAAATAAACAATATCAAAATAAAATTGTCAGAATTAATTATAAATGAATGACATTCTATATTTAAAAGCAGTCAATAATGAACATATTTGTTGATTAATTATCTTAAAATTCATAATTTATATCGTTAATTTTCATAACAAATCAATCATCAATCTTTATGCAAGTACAATGGAATATCGGTAGAATTTTTCTTTCACTTTAGTTTTAATTATAACTAAGATAGAAATTTTTCAAATAACATCTTCAATTTGTAGTTTTTCTAATTTCATTAAAACTTGGATTAAATAGTTTGTAAGTTCAGAAACTCAGATGACGTATGTTCCTACTGCTAGTAGTTAAAATAATTTTGCTATGTTCAACGAGATCGAGATGTGCTGTAATGCTATGTTAATTGAACTTCATATTTCTTTTTGCAAGTATGAAAACTATAACGTAACAGTTTAACTATATCATAAAATATTTCTTCTTGAACCACTGTTTGGAATAATAATATCCTAAAAAATCGTTCCAATAAAGATAAATAAATACATTTCAAATAAGTTATTGAATATACGAGTCATTAAATCAGCGACTATCCAGAATGATCATTTCGACTGTCGGAAACAGCCTGAAATGGTTATAAAACGGCATCTTAAGGCATTAATTTTCACTGTATTTCGCCGCAATTCGTTACCCACTTTTACGAGCTGTTTTTACCGCTAAAAAATGGTCATCATTTTTCACACTGTTTTCACTACTTTACGAGTTCTTAGGGCTCTGGAAGAGCTGCCTAATTCGTCTATACTTTGTAAGATAGAATTTTTCGTTTAAATCTAGTTTTGTAGGGAATACTTTGAACTATGAACCCATTCGAAGAAACCAATAAACCACTATGACAATTTTGAGAAATCCAGCCTGTTTTTTCAAAAGATCGTCGGAGAAATCGGTGTTCGAATTTCTCCTCGAATAAGATTTTGTATATGAAAATATGCTTCTAGGTTTTGGCTATCAAAGATTGAAAATCGTAGAGTTCTATCGTGTTCCTATCGAAATTTATTCAAAAAAAAACATTCGAGTGCCTTACCCTGTCAAGTGAATAATGAAGAAATGGTCATTAAAATGCTTTATT